AAAATGTTTTCCCACAATTAATATCATCACAGCCTTCTAGCTGAAACAAAATACAGAAATTACTGTTCAAACTAAGATCGGATTGCTAAGAATCTTATCCCAAGTCTTATTGTGCTCTTACTTACAGTGTGTAAATCCTGACTAAAAGGCAAGGAGGCCTTGATGAATGCTTTTCACATTGTATATTTTTTTTCTTAATCTCAAGTTTTAGTGCAGATACTTAAAGATCTGTAAAGTCCTGTAAACTCTGGCTGCTTTCCAGTAGTCAGTACCAACTGCTCTTTAGGCAGCACTTTGTCTCACTTTAAATAGTGTTTCACACTGTAGTATCTCCAAAATCTTTGTTCCAGCGAATGTATGCCTCCAGAGTCTGAGGGCTCAAACTGCGCTTTATCTTCTTCAAAGACTCAGTGAAATCTGATAGTTTGATATTCCTCATCTAGACAAAAAGAGAAAGACATCAGGATCACGAGCGGGTTTATGTACTTTCGTTTATTCAAGAACTACTTCAACATTCACTTCTAAAGAAGTATGTTCTAGGGGTGCTTCATCTGGTCTGATGCAAGAGTCTCTTTCAATTTAACGCTTATCAGTACTTACCATTTTATTATAAACTAACATACTTGGCAAAGGTAACTTCTGCCTGTTGCACAGTAGCACACGAGATGGGGTTACAGCTTCCTTCCACTAGGTGGTGCAAGCCAGCGCCTATGAGGGCACTGGTCTGAGTAAATAGTAGGGCATCGTTTACAGTTTTTTTTTTTTTCCCCCCCCAGAAGCTATAAGAATAATAAGTCTTCGACAAGTTTTATCTCTACACACCAGGAGAGTAAGGCACTGAAGTGCTCCCCTCCTCCCAGCCTTCACCCCAAATTGTATTCAGCACATAGCATGCTATCAGCCAAGTAATCCTGATTATCTAGCTTCAGATTCCGCCTTTCAGTTGTTTGCAGAGAACATGATTACAAGCAAGTGTTTCCGATAACTCCCATCATGTCCTTGGGCCCTTCTCCATATCCAGAGTGTGTGGAAAAACCAGATTCGTTGCTGAAGGAGTATCAACATTAAAATTTGAGAAGAATCCATGTTTCTTTGGGGCTAGCGTTTATAGGTTACTGGAGGTGAACTTGCATTCACCAAAGTATGACAGATGCTCTTTTCCTGCAACAAATCCTTTCAGCTGAAGTAATCCATGACCTAGACTCAACATAGAGGGCAACTTCTATGAAGTTTTGCTTCATAGGTTTGTACATACATTTGGGCAGACACTTTTACATTTGGGCAGATACTTTGGGCAGACCAGCAGGACCAGCAGAGACTGGCTATCAGAAAAGGTGCTTTACAGCCTGATAACCAACAAGCTACACAAAGAATCTCAGACATCTTGAGGGCAGATTTTCTCTTTAACCACTATTTTAAAAGAATTTTCTTCGGTGAATAAGCGTTAAACCCAAAAGGTAACACTAAAAAAAAAATTGTGCTAGGTATTTCATATGATACTATGCTTAAATAAAGGGACCTCAGAATTCTCTGGAGTGCATGTGTCCTACTCGAAGGGGAAAATACAACTGCTGGAACAGCATACCTCACTGGCAGACATATTCTTCACTTGTTCTGGTTTTAGTTCTGTAAAAAAGGAAAAAATCAGTGAGTTTCGTAAGAAAACTTTAATCACTTCTGACAAGTGAAGCATGTTAAAAGCAATTCTAATCTGAAAACAACCATAGCTAAAAATAATACCTCTCTGCTTTATCATATTCCATCTACATTCCATTTAAAATATGGTAAAGCTAGTGGACTTTTATTCCTCTTCTCTCTGCAAAACCACAAAATAATCCATCTGACATTCTGCTCATCAATACAGTTTTCTTTCCGCTAGTCAAAATAAGCCCACTTTTATACTTGGTGGGTTCAATGCTTCCAGAGGTGACGTTGCTAAAACACACACACAACTGTACAAAAAGAAAGATTATCCTATCACCTACTGCTAATCCTCAAGGCAAGTAAGTGGGAGTCTTCCAGCATTCCCATGCAGAATTGCGCATATTACTTCAGCCTCCTGGACAGAAAGGTCCATGGTGTTTTTCCCCTCCTTCCTCCCCATTTGTCAGCTCCCCAGCCAGCCTACTCTCACTCTGCATCATCACAGATACAGTACACAGTAGCAGGGAAACTACTTCCTTCCTCTTGAAGTACGGGGACCAGTAACCAAGCCCAACAGCTTGCCTCCATCATTGCAATCCTGGAACCCACAACTCCTCTCCTCCAAAATTTGCAAATTTCTATTCTGCATACTTCTCATGAAACAGAAAGGTACTATCAGCCAAACACAGAAGTAAAATCAGGCAAGACAAAAAAAACTTGTATCTTGCCGTACACAGTACTGGTGGGACTTAATCATTTCTGCATCCTTCAACATGTCACAGATTTGTATCAGCTACATTATCATCCCAGCAGACTTTTTGTTCTGTGTGTGCAAGAAGAAAAAAAATCTAGGAAGTATTGGCAAAGCTGACAGTAAGAATATTCTTTAAAAAAGTTTATATGGAAGCCAGAAACAGGTGGAAGAAATAAGAAGTCACACAACGTTTTACAGACTTTTCAAAATGGACTTGCACGGGAAGTGATTTGTCAGCAAAGTAAAGCCTGCTTATCTAAATGCATACATTATTAATCCAGTCATTCTAAATAAACATATTCAAAGTCTTCAGGAGACATGATTCTTGTGAGAGCTATTTAGTAAGTGCTCTTTCCCAGTTCTCATGCAGGATTTTGGGACAGGTGTCTTACTATCTCAACAGCTAAAAGTAGCTATATAAGAAAGTGTGTAAAAAGTAACTTACAAGCATCTGCTTTCAAAACTACATTTTACAGAATTTTGCCTCAAAAACACCCCCTCTCCTCCCTCTTGAACCATTTAAAAAAGCTGCAACAAATGATTTACACATAAGACATTGATATTACAGAATACTTCTCCCTGACTGCCTTTAGTACCTTTATGTCAGGATAATACATCTGCAAACAGAAAACTAGTATCAGCCTTCACAGTCTTTTCCACAAAAATCATTCTGTTGATCCCCACTCAATAAAAGCAGCCCCTTTAGATGTGGCTACTGTAGGCTAACTAGCTAGTGAAACAGAACAGAGGATTTTTTTCTTTTTAAGCAGCATTCACTTTGCATTAAAATCTTCTTTTGCAAAGCTGGAAGTGTCAGAGGAAGAACAAAGATAGCTAAAACTATTTAAGTCATAGTTATCACCTGAATCCCAGTCTGGTATTAAGCAGCTTTATAAATAAGAAGTAATGCCATTCAAACCATATCTCCCCTGCCAAGTGAAGATGACTTCTGTTTTGGTACTTCCTTCCATTGGACTTGAAAGGGAACTGTCCCGTTTATTAAGAAAGTAACACAGTCAAAGACTGCTAGTCAAGCAATAAGTTAGACAGAACTGAAACTAGCCTAGGATAGGCACAGTAATGAGGAAAAACACACAAATCAATGCAAAACAGTTCATCCTACCTACTTGCCTTTTAAGACACACACAAAGTTTCTTTTTAATGGTACACGGTGAAACACTGAAGGATTTTGTATAGGATGAAGCTTATACAAGATGTCCATTATTAAGAACAGACCATATGAAGATCCACACTAACAGCTTAATTTCAGAGGTCTAAGACTTATAAAGATGCAGGAAAATACAATATACATCGAATATTGAGGGCACTGAGTTTTTTTCTAAGTTATATAAAAAGCTATGCCGCTTACCTCGAATGGGACCCAGTGCTGCATCCTTTGCTAGTGCAGTCAAATCACTTCCAGAGTACCCATCTGTCATTCTTTGCGAAGTGAAGAAAAAAAAAAAAAAGGGTAGAGGGGCAAGGAAGCAAAAAAGAGATTAAAGTCTCTTCTCTTGATCAACAGCAGATGATCAAAATGTTACTTAATCAACAAGAAATACCATTCATATGTCATTCTGCAATTTTAATACATCAGAAGTGCATTTGACCTAAGTGATGTATATTTAGAAGTCTTTTCCAGATCAAATTTAAACACAAATACTCAAGTCCTACGTAATACGCTAGGAAAGGTAAAAAGATAGCAACCAACTAGGATCTGTAGAGGAAGGTTGATCTCAATCACATTACTGTTTCTATTATAAAAATGCCCTACCATTGGTCATCATTTGTCATAGGTTAATATTAAAGCAGAAACTCATCCGTCCTGTAGTCTTTCAACCCAGTCAATACAATTAGAATCCAATACCACATGCACTTGCTGGGATCAGATCACATGATCAGTTTTCCGACTAAAACAAGCAATATGCATCATTTGTCGACACTGGAGCCAGAAAAAGTGAAAACATACAAATACTACTAAAAATCAAACAGGATAACCTGAATTTGAAAATGATAGCTGCCTAGTGTGTCATTTATGGAAAGTACTTAACTATTGGGCTTCAAGGCAGTACAACATTCTACTTCAATAAGAGTTAACTACAAACCTAAAAAACAATGCAGCACCACTTTACTTAGCAGGTTACAGTACAGACAGCATTATTTCTGCTGGAAAGGTGCTTTTTTTTATATAACGTTTTGAAGATTTGCTAACAGGCCCTTAAAGCACTTGGTAAGCTTCTCAAAGTTTGGTTTTCATCAACTGTGAGCTTTTCAGAATTTGCAATCCGCATTTTAATCAGAATACTGAAACAGTCTATAGTTTATACGTGGAAAACAGGTTTCTAACACTCCTAGGTCTGACTCACTGATTCCAAAGTTAAGATCAAAGCCTAACACTGGAAATGCTAACAACTGAGATCAAAGTGAGGGACTCGATCTGGCTGCAACAGGCTGAGCCACAGCCTCAGTATTCATCTGCAGAAGCCTAAACATTTTTCATATTTAGCTTCAAATGAGAACAAATATATTTCAGCTCGGAAATGAAGAAAGAGTGGGAAAGTCCTTATTCAGAAAAAACGGGTTCCACAAATTGGAAGGGAGGTGCGTGCATGCCTGTGTCAGACGTTTACTCCTCTCAGTTTGCGCTCTATACCAAAAATCAGGTAATATTCTAAAGCTTTATTCCGTTCAGACAACATTTGCATACTTTCAGAACAAGGATGAGAAATGGCATGTTATACTTCTTCAGAGTGCCTAAACAGCAGCTCTTCAGTCGGGTTTAGCTTAAGCCAGCTGTTCTTCAATGAATAGGTGGTTTATTATGGATTATTTAAATTGTCATAGTTATGGTGGTTGTTTTAATTTGTCAGTGATCTGTTCAGGATCCCACAGGAGAGGATCCAGCAACGACAGTAGTTTGCATATTCGAAGTTCAATTGATAAAACACACACACAAAAACATAAGTGAACTGAAAGCAAGATAAATTGCTATTTGTTGTTCCTTTAGGATATGACAGGCAGACGTATGATTCTGAGAATTTGGATGATCTATAGGAAAGAAATCAAAGCAAGGACCCCTGCTCTGTGGGAGCTTTTTTTTTAGATTTATTTTCCAAGCTAAACACCACAATACTTTAATATTAAAGAAATTCTCCACTGAAACAAAAAGCCACCAATATATGCTTCCAAAACTTGCAAAAAGTAGAAGTAAGGGTTACCTGCAGAAAAACTTAACAAAAAACCACCCAGCTGTGTAGAACAGTGGTTGGCTACAGCAAAAGATTCATTGCTCAGTCTTCCAGAGATAATTGATTGCATTACAGTTTTTAGAAAAAGTTGTGGAGGAGAAAAAGTTCACAAAATGATAAAAGTATGGTCAGAGAGACATTAGCGTTTAACAAAGAAAGATGGCAGATGAAGAAGCGCCCTCAACTTCGGTATTTTGGATAAGCTCTTTGAAAATTATGTGCTTATGTTGTTCTTGTATTTTGGTGCATAAATCTGCATTTAGAATCCAAATCAATGACTTTTTCCTTCAGTTTGCTATTGCAGCAGCCTACAAATGGCCTGAGCTAGCCTCTTTCAAGTACAGAGAGGATTTCTTCATTTGGGTTATACAGCCAATTTCTGTAATGCTACTGACATGAAGAGATGGACAAATGCCACATCCAACAGCATATTCACTTCTTCTATGCCACCACAAATGGAACAAAAGACTGAACTACAGCCACTTGAACATTTTTGATATCTCACACTCAGTTTTCTTCACTCCTTCCTGCCCTAGGCACTTTACCGGCTTTTCAGTCTAGCTTCCTCCATACCCATTACAAAAGCTGTGTGGGAAAAGCAGGCACTTAGTCTCTGAGGATGGTACATAGTAGCATTCTATCAATCTTAATAACGAAAACCAAGAACAGCTTAGTTTCACAATAGAGAAGGGCATTTAACCAATACTTTTCAAACCAAATACAAGAATCTGGATAAGATACTGGGAAGAATCGCATTTAACCAATGCTTGCTACTCTACGCTGGTAATATCTTCAAACAACCCAGCAACGGCCAAGCAGGAAAAACAAACAAGCTTGTTCCTTATTCAAAAGGCATGCCAAGTGCAAAAATTGGTACTGTCTTTTGGCATCAGTGAAGAGAGCTAGCTTGCCTGGGGCATGGGTGGGGAGAAACATCTCACCGCCTCCTCAGAAAGAAAGAAAAGCACAGAGGAACAGGTTCCAACAACAGACCTGGGTGGGAGAGGAGGGCAGGCAAAAAAACACAGCCTTTTATATAAAAGCATATAGGAACAACACTTTCATGTGGTCTGACAAGAAAACATTTTTCTAATGTCTTCCTCAAATGCATGCAATTCATTTTCAGTAAATTTTGTCACTATCTAATGATTAACATTAGTTATATTTAGAGCTAACAAAATACTTTGAATTAATGCAGTAGAAGAGTATATTAATTTAGTTATAGTTATAAAGTACTCACCTAGCTAGTTGGGCCAGCTCTTTTTGGGTTAATGGACTTCCTTGCTTGCTTAAGAGATTTTTTAGCAAAATCAATCTTGTCTGAAAAGATAAGTTTATCAGATGAAAATTTCATTGTTATGATATACTTTTTAAATTCTATTGTAACAACAGAACAACACGTTCATCAGGTTAGGTTTTGTGCCTCACTAGTTTGAACTTGCCTGTAAAGCTTGTTATTAGATTATATATGATAATTTCTTGCGAGGAAGAGAGAGATTTGATAATTAGATCAAGGGTCCAACTAGTCCTAAACAGGCACTAAATACACTAGAATCCTCATCAAAAGCCCTAATCTGATGTTCAGCTGAAGAACTTTAGAGACTGCTTCTTGCAAAAGAAGAAAGTAGCTTTCTTAATCAGCCAAGCCAGCTCCTGCAGACCCTACTCCAGACTTGTCTGTGCCTGCTGGTGTATAAGCAATGCCTCACTAACTAAGAAACATGGAGCAGTTACTACCAGATTTACTACTAGTAAGCATATCAAAATGTAACAGCTTAAGACAGTCATGAGAATTAAAGCACAGTTTATACGGTCAAGCTGGGTCAGCAGTTAATTCACCAGATTGTTAGTTGTAATCATCCACTAGGGCAAGTTAAGAACAGCCTATAAAAATAGGGTTTATTGCATTTTACAAAACTGATCTTGAATTGAAGAAAATGCATGCAAACCAATACTTACCTCCTCATTTGGTAAAGATACATACACCCGTTTGGTGAATCGCCTTAAAACGAAACAAAAAGATCCGTCAGAAACGATTAAGAAAGAAAAAAAAAATCCTAGAACGGTCTTAGAAAAAACTTTCGAAGTGTGGCCTCTCACCACTAGATGAGGCATCTGACCTGGATATGATACGGATCAGTAGCAACAAAACCAATTGCGTTCACAGCAAATATTGTTGAGTATGAAACTATAGGATATAACAGATATTACTCTCACTAATCCCATTACAGTGGACACATGAAAACAAGAGGTAGCTGAGACTACCTCTACTGTTGGTAGAGTTGGCTGCTCTTTCCTCTTCGCAGTAGCCTAAGTCAGACAGCAGTGGAGCTTAAAGTGTACGTGACAACCTTCTCATTATCTGTACTTGCATTAAGTGACTGTATTATGTGGTTAGACTTTTCTCCCCATTGGAATGGCTAAAGTTTTTCTAGGGAGCACTGTCTGTGGCCAAGCTAACACATTTTTGTAGTCCACATAAAGATAATGTTTGGCTTGATAAATATGTCAAAATTTCACTTGCGTCGAACTCTAGGGAACAACACAACAGATTTACCTTAAAAAAAAAAAAAAACCACAACATGCATGAGCCAGTAGCGACACCTTACTCTTAAAAAGGTCATGAAACTCTTTCCAGATAGGAAAATACTCCAAAGGCAGAAATATCTTTCCTATTAGCAACAAAATGAAGCATCTCTTCACTGTACAAGAACACAAGTGCATGGGACGTGCCACCGCATGCATGTAATTGCAGAAGTCCAATATTCAGAGCAGCAATACTAGATTTCATTGGTCAAACTTCTTCCTTTAATCTGCCATTAAGATCCAAATAGTAAAAGCAGTAACGCATAAGACAAAAGGGTTATGAAACGTTGACCTGGTCTTACCAGGCACTACTGTTTCAGACGATTCCAAGGCCATTATGCTTGCGCACAGGTATCCCAAGAGAAGAAAGAGGGGCAGCTCTTTGAGAAGTTAAATTTTAACATTGCTAAACAACTTTTGCCACATAGTCCAAAATTTAAACCAACCAGACACTAAGCATCAAAACGTGCTGTTCATAACAAACATCATATTCTTGTATTCAAACAAAGGAACAGACATTTTGATACCTGAGAACAGCATCATCAAGCTCCTGTGGCCTGTTGGTTGCTCCCATCACGAGTATTCTGTCTTCTCCAGAAGACTGCACCTATAATGTCGGAGGGCAGCTTTCGGTTTATATCAAGTAATAACGAAGCAAAACCAGTTAAAGATTTGCCATGCTTTCAGTGCATTGATGGAATCTTACTTTAAAGCATTCATATTTGTTTTAAATACAATTTAAGAAAAAGTTTACAACCTATATTTACTTCCTTCCCCACCAGCTCCAGGCACCTGATGTCCAGGTATGTTCCCTGAAAAGTCTTGCAAGAGCAGAAATGCTGCTCTGCAATTACACTTTGCAGTGTTGGAGAAAAACGGCAGAAGTATTCAAAAGTTTAGCCATTTAGAAATAGTTACATTTAAAAAAGCAAGAGACTTTTTTTGTTGTGGGTTTTAATACCCAACATTGTTTTGAAGCCTGAAGAGAATAAGGGAATCAAAACTTTGGGCTAAGGCTCAGTCAGAACCACTAAACCAGATCAGAGATTCATCTGATACAGGTCTTGCCAAAAGCTAGTAATCAAAATGAGTAGTTATTCAATAGTATACTGCTGTAGATTATTACCCCCAATTCACTCAATTACAAGACTTCGTTTATGTCAAAGATTATGGAGGCTTACAGCTTCTGAACTACAGAAAAAACATAAGGGTATCAGAGACTTTTCATAATTCATCTCGTATCAAATCCCTCATGGACTTGCTAAATCTTCAGACACACAAAGACAGCAATAAGTTGCACAAAAGAATTGTATAAGAGTTATATCTTGATTTTAAATTTTCTAACTTACTATGTCTAATTTTCCCCCCTTAATTTTATAAAAAAATAGAGGGGAGAGGAGAAGGGATAAGACTTATTTCTGCATATCACTGTCACGTTGCGTTATTCATCTTGATTCATCTCACTCTGGAGAAGTTTCTCCCAATTTTGACATGGTCATCTTCTCCTTCTGTACCCCACTACTCTTTCTCCATCACTGTGCCACACAGCGATGCTAACACTTCCACATACAGTGCAATCTGACAGAAAGAAAAAAATTTTATTTTCATTTGTTCTTCCACCACACAACCATGAAACCTAAATACCCAGTTCCTTTACCTGGGTATTGGATGTGTGTTACGTTATTCTTTGTATCCTGCCATCTCTGGGTTGGGATGCAAAGAAAAAAAAAAAAAAATCAATAGCTCAATAAAAAGCATACTAACAGAGATGAATCCTTCCTGTGCGTCAGATCTGTGTAAACTAACGATCAGAACTAATCTGTTTGAAATCCCCCTCAAGTTTCATATCATCCCTTGACAAAGGGTATGCTTTTGAGACTTATCCCTCAATTAAAGAAAAGACACTGTGAAAAGCCATTTAACGTACTTTCACTTTGCCAGAGTGAAGAGATTTACTTCACCAAAACGTGCAGATGCAAACAAGGATTTAACTGATCAATCCACAAGTGTCCCCCTTGCCCTATGAGAACATTTGTTCTCATAGCTCTTTTATTATTGCTATTTGTTATCCTTTTTTCTCTTCTCTGTCCAAGCAGTCCACCATTTCAGCTCATCTCCAAATTACTGACTGTTACCTTTCACTCTACACTGAGTTTTCCAGAATACTGCAGTTAACAGGTGAGAAAATGAAAAACAATTAAAAAAAAAAAAAAAAAAAGCTATTTGCTAACCAAGAGAGAAAAGAAGGAGGAAAAAAAAGAGAGACAGACAGAACTAACGCCTGAACAGCCAAATCCTATTTGCGCTTCATTTGCGGCTTGTACTGGCACCCACTACATTAGCCAATTCAGCCACATCAAACAATACCCAAGACTAGATACTTACACCATCAAATTCTATTAAAAATTCTGTTTTTAGACGTCTGCTAGCATCATGCTCACCCTCTCTTCTTTCACACAAAAGGCTATCAACTTCATCTAAAAAAAAAAAAAAAACACACAGTTGCTTTACAAATTTTCGTTAGGCTTGCAAGATTAAAGCTCTCATATTTGCCTAAATTACTTTGCTAACACAGGGCCCCACCAAGAGAGTTCAGATCGTCCATGCCCAGGAGACAGACAGATCTTAGTAAAGTTAAAAAAGCCTCTACAGTATTCCAAATTGATTTTTCACGCTACCATGTGTTGTCCTTTAAATATATATTACTAATCATAGATAATAGAAAAAAAGTCCTGTTGGATAATAAACTGCGCTCAGGACAACCAAAATCCAATTCCATGTTTCAAGTTCAATATAAAAGTGGACTTGCTCTGTAGAGGTAATATAGCACGTGTGTTTTTTGAGGGCATTTCTTCTGCTAATTATCACCAACTGGGTAACAGAATACAAAGTTAACACACCGTCTATATGGAACTACTGATTAGCCTGCCAGTTATCACTGAGACTGGGACACCTTTCTTGCTCTGAACTGCAGAATTACCCAAAGAGGTTTACCTGACTCTAATTAAGAAAGTCTAAATGTTTAAGAAAAAACACAGGAAGTCAACAGCATTTGAAGTCTTACCTATAAAAATTATAGAAGGCTGAAGTTCTCTGGCTACTGCAAATAGAGCCCGCACCAGTTTCTCCCCTTCACCCACCTAAAACAACACGCAGGAAAAGTTGCTTACAAACACTAATACTCAATCCATTCTTACACTCTCAGTTACATTACCACCAGTTGAGTATCACAGAAGGCAGCAGTATTTCAGTCTCAAAAGAAACCTTACAACTTCACTAGTGATTGCAGTTGAGACTGGCAAAGAGTTTGGTGCTTATATATCAAAGGGAGCTTAGGCACCCCATTCCTTTACTTTTTCATGGAGAAGAAAAGACCCACAAGCACTTGTCTATATGACAGCTAGGGTTATCCTGAACTGAAAAAGCTCTTGACATTAAGGTATCACAAGCACAAAAGAAAATTTTGACTTTACCAGCCACTATTCTACAATTTTGAGCAAACAGCTCACCACAGACTCAACTAAAGTTGCTGGTCTTCTTAAGCACCAATTATAATATTTGTGTTTTCAGATTAGCATAATTTACAGTTGCTACTTACGTATTTTGAAGTTAGGCTTGCGGCACTTATGTTAAAGAAAGTAGCATTTGATTCTGCAGCAACTGCTTTGGCCTGGAAGGGAAAAAAGAACACTTTTTAAATGTCAGATTGACGATAGGTTGGTTTTTTTTGAAAAAAGTTTAAAATAGATTTCACGTAAAAGCACACTATGTGGAAAAGCAAACAGCTATATTGACACAGTTTGGCTAAATCAAAACCCTACATAGATATATTTCCATACGCCCTCCAAATTCTTCTAAACGCAGTACTGAAAGGTGCTTCCATTCTCAAAGGTCAAAAGCACACCTGTTGTATGTTGCATATACTGAGAAATACAATGTTACCCATTGATTACTATCTGAAGACTGTTGAGACAGTTTGCAACCAGGTATTTCAGATTATGATTTTCAAACCCACAAACCCCTCTGCTTCTGAAGCTGTCATTCACGTCCTGAACGAAGACAGAAAAACCCTTTTCCTTCAAAGGGAACACCTTGCAGATGTTACAGGAAACTTCTATACAGGCCACTTACAAATAGAAATGGGTAAGTGGTTCAATCACTAGAGAAGTTTCCAGGCTCCCTTCTATTTTTCTAATCACAACAACTCCGTGACCAACTACAACTTGCTCACTGAAGAATATAAATCTCCAACGCCTCTCAAAATGTATTGAGCAGACATTTAAAACAGTTAAAATTCATTTAGTGTGATAATTTAGGGTGGCAATTGGATCAAATTGCATCAACAATTTCACCTTCTTCTTTATGAAGGCTCTTTTCAGAGAAAAGCTAGGGAAAAGAATCAGTTCAGCCAAAACACTTGCACAGAATACCCTCACTACAGTTTCAGCGTATTCAAGAAGTAATAAAAACACCTGTACGACGAGAAAATCATAAATGTTAGCGATTAGCCATTATATTCCAGCAGATAAAACAAAAACAGATGGTCCTTAGTGAGCTGTAGCGTTCAGGCTCACGTGCTTCTGAGCTGACCCAGCTCCACTATGAGCCAAGGGACCGTGCAGCTGCAGCCACGTCACATGATGAAGGAGGACTGCAAGGCTCCCGGCTGCTGCACAGCCATTTCGCTCTCGTTCTCTGAACCTGGCACATCAGGCTGAGAAAACAAGAAGCCAGACAGTCCTAGAGCACTCATGTTTCCTGCACAGCAGCGTGGAAGAAAGATGGAAACCCCTTTCTTGCGCCTGTGCAGCCTCCCCAGTTCCAAAAAAAAAAAAAAAACAACCCTACATTTCTAGCATATTTTAGTGGATTTTGACTAATAGTTGATGTACACGAACAATTTACCATGCTACTTCTTTCTCCAAAAAGAAAAACCTGGACTTAATTTAAGTTTTAAAATACTATTTGTGATATTAAAGAAAATTAATTCAAGAATAGCTTAGCAGTTTGCCCCCCCCCCAAAAAAAATCACTTACAGTTAAGAACAACTTTGTATTTTCAAATCAAATTGAAATCATAACACACAGGAAGAGTTTATAGCTCATTATTACAACATCCATATTTATTACCAAGAATCTTCTCACTGTTAAAAGGCTGAAGTGCCCAGTTAGAGAATCTCATCTCAGTTCTACTGACCTCAACCGTTTCAAAGTCACCTTCATTCCTCCACGGTTGGGAATTCTCCAGCACAAGCCACAGTGAGCTTACCCTAACCTCATCATAGTCAAGAAGATTCTCCAGTGTTGCAATGCACTTCAGGTTTTCGAGAATGTAAGCAAAACGTGTCCAAAAGGTATGGGATTCAGATACGTGCACGCACACTATGTTTCTTTACAACAAACACAGCTCCAAAAATAGCTCCAACCTCATTTACAGCATAATGTGCAGATATTGTACTGACAAGCTTTCCCGCTGAAACAGAAAATAATCAACTTCTTCCATAAAATAAACTTGTTGAAGAATAGTTATGTATGAACAAAGCCATCTACTTATTAGCGTTTGCTCAGAACTGTGCCACATAAAACACTGCTAAAAAACACTGAAGTTCAGAGATACCGAAAGCCACCATTCATGGTTTTATCTTATGCCCATCTACTCATGCATGCAGTAGTTTTCTCACCAACATTGTCTTCCCATTTCCTGGTGGGCCGAACAGCAATAGTCCACGTGCAGGAGCTCTAAGTCCTGTAAATAACTGAAAAATACATCATAAATTACCTTCAAAGAGTTAAACTGCTACAAACCTAGTATGTGTACACTTGGACTTATTACTTGGACTCATGTTAGTAAATTTTTTGTAAAGTGTAAAAATCTTATTCTGCTTTTGATTAAATACTAAGGAAATCCTAAAATCTCTTCCAAGGCCTTGCCACCATTAACAGCCACCAATTGACCTGGTTCTTAGAATCATAATCTGCTTCAACCAACTGTACTTGGAGAAGAAAAATAAGTTACTCCAGGAACAAAACAAAAAAAAAAAAAGAGGCAACAACAACAATACAATTTTTATTTACCTTTGTAAGAAAATGGCTTAAGATTGAGCTGTGTTTCACTAAATAGCATCAACAGCAATAGTAACAGTGCTACAAATGTACAGGCTCTTAGAGATTTGTACTTTCCACTACTAACTTGAGCTAATGCACATGTCACTATTGTTTCCCCACACACTAGTTAATTTAAGCGATTATCATTCTGTGCATAGATGTACTGTGAAAGGAGAATAAAAGGCCGTAACATATGCCTCAAGACAGACTAGTCTATCAAGTCTAAAGCATCAAATTCAAGGTTAAAAAAAATAGTAGCACATACATGCACACATGTGTAGGACAGAACTCAGCAGCAATGTCCCCTACTAACTCCATATGGAAGAGAAAATTTCATCTTCCTCAATTCTTTTTTAATGAAACTTAAGTTTTAGCCCAAGACTATTTGAAATATTACTCAATTACTACCTGCTCCCTCCAAATTCCCTTTTACCGCTGATAACCTCCTCCCTCTCATTTTGCATTTTATTTCTTTGACATCATATAAAGTTGCACCAATCATATCTGGCATTATGGCAACCAAATCTACAAACTCTCATTGATCTCTCTCTCTCTCCCCCAAATTAAAAAAAAAAAAAAAAAGTCTCTCTTATCTCCAGTGCTTTATCTTAGCACTTTCTGGAGACTTTTACAGTTCCATTTATGGACCTCATGCTTACCCCTCCATTCTAACTTCCAATAATTCCTTAGCATAAAATTGGAATAGTCAAGAATCACTGATATAAACCATGTCTAAACACCATTGCCAGCAGGCACTGCGTTATCAGAAATGGCTGCACTACAAAGTTACCCTGTCTGTAAGGTGATCAACATGCATTTTTTCTAGTATTTCGGCTTTCACAACATTTTGGTTATGCCTGATTCCTAAAAAAACAGTTATCACAGTTATCACATAACAGTTACGATTCTTTGCTCTAATACATACCACTTACACTCCAAATTCATTGCAGGATTTTAACCTGAATAATTACACTGCTCAAGTGTTTCCGCTTTCAAGCTATACTATCATGTGCAACTCCTGCCTGACTCATCTTGTTCAGAATCATCATCTGGAAGTTTCACCATTTTCAAGCATTCCAGACCAAATCCTCAACTCACTGTCACTTTGGTCGTTCCCTACATAGCTCAACTGCAACTGCCATTTATTACTGAGATACAAAGCCTAAACATTTTCATGCATACTTGACGCCAAAGCTTTGCTTTCATCAAGCCTAGTATTTCTGTGATGCTATACTAGGACTGGGTTTTCTTCTGCCACCTTTCAAAGCCAGAAACTGTATTAAAGGAAACTGGAAGACCACGAAGCAACTCCAATCACCAGCCAGTATCACACACACACAACCCACACACAAACCTGCACAGAGTTTCTGCCAAAGTTTCTAGCAAGTCCAGTACCTTCAGAAGACAACTAATTTAAAACAAACAAGTGGCTCATAAAATTCCACTGTAATGTCAACCAGATCTGAGCCTAGCAGAAGCCTGAATATCCAATTTCCATCAAGTCCAATAAAGACTAAATCCACTCCCAAATGTTACACACCTGAATGTACTTGCTTGTTGACCACCACACTTCCCTGTTGCCAACAGATTGTTCAGAGTATCTAAACACCACCCAGAGAATACGACCACACTACCCACTTAATATTTTCCAGATTATATCATAACTTAACTTCTACAGTCTCATCTGTTTCGCTCTTCCAACTCTGAGCTTTCTCTCCTACATTTCCATCCAAAGTTGGCTGAATATCATCTGGAACAGTCAGCCTCAATAATTTTCAATTTTTTTTTTTTTTTTTTAAAAAGAAAGCTACTGCCTCAGTTACTTTTTCCTACACTGACTAACCAGAAGACTAAGACTTTCATGGCAGTATTTTAACACGCATGGTCTTCGTCCTCCTTTTTCAAGGAGACTATCACCACACAGCTATTGAAAGCAACCAAAAGCAGCACGGACAGGATTCAAGAATCACCACTTTATTTGTGAAGTACAGTACATTTCTTTGATTCTATCACAGAATGATAACAATACTCAATTGCTTACCTCAGGTCTAAGAGAAGGAAGGATAACAATTTCTTGCAAAGCTTGCTTAGCCAGTTCCTGCCCAGCAATATCATCAAATTTGACAGCTGGCCCACTAACAAAGAAATTGAATACTAATTAGTCTAACAATGAGATACTCTTTTTTTTGGCTGCAGCTGACTAGTTTAATGCATTTGACTGACTATACAGAACCATTTTGAAGCATCTTTTCATTCCAAGAGGAACAAGATCGTATTGAATGAAAAACGGACTCAGGAAGGTACCTGAGTATCAGCTTAGAAGAATCCACTTTTCTTCAGACTTACCTATCAACAATTTCATTCAAGATGAGATTAGCAAGATTACTGTCCACATTTCTAAATATCTTCATGTCTTTCTTTTTTCGAGCAGCAGTGGTAGGAGTTGAAGGCTTATTTGTTCTGCTGTTTTTAGGAGCAGCCTTGAGGTGGGGAGGGAAAGAGGGGGGGGGGGGAAAAAGCATTTGATACCTTTAAAGCATATTGTTAATTTCTTCTACACTATTTTCTCCCGTAAAATCTAATGTATTAACAAATACCAAATATTCTGGGACTGTATTTTACTACAAATCATGCTGTTATATTCAGCCCTACATACAGCATCTTAGGCTACAGTAGTAAATTGTCTGTTTTTGTTTTTTTTTTAAATATTGAACTGCAACTGAAGCGCAATCTGTGCATGCATACTTTGGGCGTGAAAGAACAGGTGGGAAACACTCTACAGTTCCTGTATTCTACAGGAATAAGACCTACTTCCCATATCGTTTAAATACTAGGGAAAACGCCCGTCTGTACTCTGGTTAGGTCCCCCTCAGTTTCCCATGCCGATTTCAAAATAAAGCATTACATTTATTACTACCATTACAGTTAAATGTAGTCTTTTGCCACCTTCTGGTTTCTAAAACTCACTCCACAGCTTAGTCTAGAACGTACTGACCCAAAATTGAGTTTTTAAGACTACAAAATCATATACTTTTATTGTTATTATACCACTACAACACTGCAATAAAGGCAGTAAATCCAGAGTTTGTTCAGGATTTTGCATTAAGTGTCCAAGCATATACAGGTATTTCTATCCTCAGCATACCTTGTGAGTTGAAGTTGCAGGATTTGCTGTTGGTCTAGATACAGAAGAAGCTGATATCCCACTGTAGCTAGGTGTTCTATGGTGACCTGAAAGGCCTGCAGATCCAGTTTTTGCAACAGTTTTTGAACGGGGAAGGGAATTACTCGTATGTGTTAATGGATCCTTCTTTTTCGGAACTGCTCCACTCTCTACAAAGAAAAATCAATGTCATGAGAACGTTTTTAGCAATCATACTAACTAGCACTCATACTTTTAGCATCAATTCCAACCTGAAGATAACATTGTTCATGAACGTAGTGTAGGATTAGAATAATATAGGTTCTTTACAGAGGTTTCCAATACTTTCAAGTAGATATTAGCTGTAGCTTTCTGCTGAAGTAAGTTTTGATTTTTTTCAGGAGCTCTCAAAACCTACAGAGATCTTGGAAAAGCTGGAGAAGTCTAATTAAAGCCCTGTAACAAGGGAGGAACACCTTCCGTTACTCAAGAGAGGAGCAGACAGAACACTGACCAGAAGATTATTTTCCCCAGAACTTCTGAAAATTATTATTATAATAAATGCCCAAGTTTCAATCCATTAGATTCAGGACATCCATTCCCTAAGTGATGTTACTAGGCTTGCTACTTCAGACACCAGCTAACAATTTATCAAACATCTTCCACGAACAGAAGCTCTACTTAGGCATTTTAGTTTGGGAAAACTAACAGTTATAACTGAAAGCAACTATTAGAAGCTTTTTGCTTACAACTTTGTTTCAACTCATATCTCAAAGGGTAAGTAAATTCTGAAATTCTGAAAGAATGGCTCTGAAGCAACTCATCTTCCTCCTTCAAAATTAATCTTAAAAGATTACAACATTAAATTCAAATAACACTCTACGTTCCACTCACACTTACTCCAATTCACCTCCATGTTGGAGCAGGCAGGTCTCAGGTTTGGTGACTGATGTAGTTTAACATAGCGGCCAAAGGTAAACTAAATCACAGTTTAGATAAAATTTAAAAAGGCCATTTTAATCAAGAGGAAATGAAGTAAATAATGCTCGATTCCTACATTCTCCATAGGGGACACAGGTAGAAATAAGGTTCATCGACTCAGACCTGGCAAGTGTAAAGCATCAAGACACAGAGTAGACACAAGAACATCCTTTAGCAAGCACATAGGTTGGGGTCAGGTTAGTTAGCAGTTACAGCGCAGCACTAGATTGGTTTGTGCTGTGCAAATACAGTACAGGAGGCTATATTTCACAGTATCGTTGGCTGAAATGGAAGTTGTAATGGAAGCCTTATTTCATATCCTTATAAAAAGAATTAAGGAGCCTTTTGATAAGACACAAAACTAAAGCATCAGAGCTAAGGAAGCTCAAGATGGACTTCAGCTACAAGTTTCTTCACTAAAATTTTAAAAATAGACTACTCAAGTTCTTTTGTCTTGTCAGTCTTAAATAAACAATGAAACATACTTGAAGGTAGAAAGCCTCATCATTTTGAAAGTTGTGTTTAAAAATTCAGGTAGGAATACTTCAGTGAAACAGTATCACTAGATTTAATACCTATATTTACCTTACTCTTTAGAAGGGTTAATTTCTATTAACTTTAAGAATCCTTAAATAGTAAAAAACCCCTATATACTACAAGGAGCAAATCCTTATACAGCCTGAAGTGATGAATAATTTGCCTAAGAAGCTTCCAAAGCAAGTAGATAGGCAGCCCTTCCTCAGCCACAAATCTACCTGTTTTAAGAAGTTTTAGAAGCTCTGCAGAGGCCATCATAAACAAGGCAGATGCATCAACATGCAAAACACAAGGGAACTTGAAGAATACAAATAACTACATCATAGCTGTAAAATGTTCCTTGTAAAAAGAGGGCCGTCTGACTAAGTCACTCAGATACTCAGAGCTGAAAAGTTTATGTTCCTGCACAGTCATTTCCAATCAAAAAACTCTTCAAGTTAAGCTTACTTTAACTTTCAAAGTCAAAAAGCAGCATATCGATCTATTAAAAAAACCTAGCTATCCAATACTGGCTTGTTCAATTGAATCAAAAGACAACATTTAAATTTTATTTTTCAGCATCAATTGCACGCTTCAAAGACAACATAGGAAGGCTTCAAAAAGTGAAATATTTTTCCTCCAATTCCTTTGCCTTAGCATCGTGCTGATTATAAACCTCTTCCAAAATAATCCCCATCTCTTAAGAATGATACATACATACATTGCAATTCTGATTATCATAAAATTGCATAGGTAAGGAATACTTCAGGAAGGTGGAAATACAGAGAGAACAGAAAGGGAAAAGAGAAAGGTTTAAAAAGCAAATTACAATTCAGTCTAGCTGAACCTCTAGGAATCAAGACCATTAAGTTAGTGTTTGCTCTGTGGTCAATCCTCATGAGTAGCAAAGAAAGAAAGAAGTGCAAATGAATTACTCTTAAATGTAGTTGTTCCGTTAACTCAACAGGGAGACTTCATTTGTTATACAAATTCTCAGTGAAGAAGCAAATGTCTTTATAAACAGCTAAATAGAGTGAAAACAAAGTAAGGATATGTTTCATCAACCTTAAGGGAAATTTGATGATCCTAAGCACCTGGGAATAGAGAAACAATCTGGGAAACAATTCCTCACCCATGTGCATTTTAACCACTCAGCTCTAGCTTATTAAGTAAACAGCAACCCTTTGTATTTCTAAAAGCAAACTGATTATCTTTTGGTTTGTGCATTGAAAACTGAGTAAGACAGGTCTTCAAAAAGTTTATGTTGTCTTATAACTTCTCAAACATCAGAAAAAGTTTAAATTAAAATTAGCAGCAGCAGTTCCAGTGCTGCAGAACAGTTTTCAGCCTTCATTTGTGAAACCTTGAAAAATCAGTGACGCAGATTGCTCAGAAATTCCTCCCATATGCTTACTGATAACCGATATAAATAACTTTTCTTAGTCACTTTATATGTGGTCTGTGGACCCCACGGTGGGGGGGGGGTGGGGGGGGGAAGAAGAGAGAACAGTTTAAGAAATGTAAAGGCAGTTTTATTTAAAAAAAGCAAACAAAAACTTTAAACTGCTTAGCTATACATTTCCTGCAAACATAACATAATGAATTACATCCATCAATTGTAAGAGCAATAGTTATTCAGGATTAACATTCATTATGCTCCATATTGGTTACTCCTTCAGAGATTACATTCAGATTTTCCGCTCAGTGCGTTCAAACAACTCCTTTACAAAAAAGCTTCAGAAACTAACAAGAGCCTGTTCTGCGTTTTGCATGAAAGCGTAGCTACACAGATCAGAGATACAGCTTTACTTTCTGAACTGACAGAGCCATGTCAATAAAACGTCTACTACTGTCAGATTATGGTGTTAAAAAGGATGTTAATATTACTACTTGTTCTTCTATGTGGTAAACGTCAAAAAAAGAAAAAAACTCCAAGCCACACACACACCAGCACATCTCTGTATTAATAGCAGACTTTTTGCAACCAGAAGGACATTGCCAATATATCCTTACTATTAGAGACACGTCAGCAAACCCTTCTAAGCGCAAACTGAACTAAAATAATTATACAGCACCAACGTTGTGGTAAGAGAAGTGCAATCTAAGGCGCTCTCTGACTGCATATCATGTTGATACTTAATGCTAAATGTAAAACAATATGTTGGTACTACTGTAATACTACCTCTATTGTATGCCCAATACAAATTAAATTTATAAAAATCATAAACCGCCTTGGCATGATTGGCATAAAAACACCCTCTTCTCCCCACCTATTAAAAACAAACTCATACAATGCAAAGGAGAACATGCATGTCTGAAGAAAAAATCCAGTAAGTTGCTTTGCATCTAATCTAAGACAGTTTTGAGAACAAGAGTGACAGATATTAAAAAAAATATTCTCCAAAACAAAGTTTCCAGTCAAGTCTACTTGTTACTACTCTTTTAAGACAAGTTATTGTGCAAGTCTCCTGCAACTGAAGGCTAGGTGCTACCTCTTATAATGAAGTTTTATATAACTTCAACTGCACATAGAATGAAACGTCTAGCTACTCAGGTAAGCTAGAAAACTACGAATAAGGAAGACTGGGATAGGTAGTCACTTGTGCTAGAAACAAGTAGGTGGATCTGAAAGGTTAATACAAATCCTATCTTGAGAGGAACAAAAAACTCAAATTTAGTGATTTGGAAATATAAAAATTATGCAGCATAGCTGTGAGAAAGTAAGACAGACATAAGATGCAAAAAAATTTTAAGGAGTTCAGGTTTTAATGGCAACTGACAGAAAGAAAAGCATTCACATTTTAACACTTCTCCAAAAGAAGCCCTTTCTTGACATTAAAACTATGAATGACCATCTCTCTCACGTCATTAAATCCAAGGTTTTTATTAAAAACTCAACTCAATCAGGCAATAGTGCAGGTAATAATTTGTCCAGATTAAAAAAAAAAAAATTACTTAAAGCCCTACAGCTCTGTACCACTGCAGTGTACCTCCTCAACGGCAACAGCCCTCTTACCTCAAGTAGCCCCCAACCCGATTTTGTATGGGTTTTTGAAGGATTTATTTTTCAAGCACCAGTACTTTTAAGAGAGTGCAACTGTTGGTGTGAAAACAATACCTTTATTACAACACTTATAAGGGAAGAATAATGACAAGATAATTAACAGATTGAAGCAGAACTGATGTGGTACTTTAAGCATAGTACCAGCATATTCTTACAAAGACGACCCCTTCACCTGAGAGAGAGAGAGGGAGAGAACGTCAGCTTTGGGAAGCCCAAGGCAAGAGGAAGCAACACTCTGTTAGGGAAATTCACATGACAGTTAATAAGTTGACTTTCCTGATAACATCCAGGATCTCACAGCTATAGGAAGTCAATACTTTGGGTAAACCTCTGACTTCCAGAGGCTGCTATGAATCTGAAATATACCTTCTGCTGGAAGAAAGTGAGTAAGCTTCTTACAGTCTTGTCCAAAGTAACCAGTCAATAGAAGTTCGGTACCTAACTATTTTTAATTGCCTGCTCTTTAATCTTTCTGCCTCTTCTCAGAGCCCACAAAGGTGGGGTAAGTGAAAGTTTCTCCATTAGTCTGCACTCCCCCAAGAGGGTCCCTGCAACACATCTGCCACAGTTTCTAACTTCTCCAAATTCAGGAGCAGCCTTGGAGAAGGGGAAAGGGAATCTTCTCAGGAAGCAGGAAGAGACAGATTGGCAGGGAAAGGCACCCCCAGAAGATCATGGCCCCTTGCAGTTGTGTCTCTACTCCTTCCTGCACGGTTCTAACACCATGAGTATGACGTTATATGGGTAAATTCACCAGTACCACTTTCTAAAAGTTCACCAGCAACGATCATCTCCCTGCTGCAGGAATTTCTGTAAATAAAAGCACCTGACACAGAACTGGCAACGTTTCTTCATTTCCAACAAACATCAATGGATACTCTCTTTATGCTTTCTTATTGACAGACTTAAGTAACTGAAGTAACTAACAGATTTAAGAGGAACGAAAGTTCAGTCTAACCTTCTCCTGCAGCATCCAACCCCGAGAAGAGTTGGAGAAAATAGTACAGAAAAAGGCAGAAGGGAAGAGTTTAAAGAAAAAGCTGTTCATATTGAATCAGATGGAGCATCTTATCAACTTTTGCGTATGTATGTACTCATTCAATCCCCAATTACCCAATCAGGTAAAAACATAGGAGTTGTACAGGCTCATTCTAAAGCAGAAGTTCAATCTACTTAGGAACTTATCTTCAGGAGCCATTTTAGCTACAAATGCTGTTAAAAATACCATACAGGAAGCAAACTAAACTAGTAATGATGGAAGCGCTAACAACACATTGCCTTACTAGTTTAATTTGCTCATACATCAGAAAGGAGAAAAAGCAAACAACGAGATGCCTTTAGATCTAGAAATGAAGTTAAAAAACAAAAATCAAAGGCATGTAGTTTATGCTGTTTCAAGTTTAGTTACTCTAAAAACCGAACACTGCTCTTTACTCAGTAGATGAACTTTGTGAACTCCATTGCTTCTAACTCTCAGCAGCACTTAACATCACTCTAATCCACTGTATGATTTAGCAGCTGAGATCACGGTTGCGACAGAAACTTCCTGCTACCTTAAAACATCCCTTGGAGACAATTCAAACTCCACAGTAATTTTACTCTTGTGTACAGATAAAGCGTAAGTTTACTTCTTATATTTCAATATTCTTTATACAATCTCTTGGAAGAGGATAAAAACATCCTTCTCTGACAAGGAGCAAGAATTGGGTTTTTCCCCCCTTGTTTTAATTGTGTATCACTTTCTTAGAGGTTAAAAAAAAAAAAAAAAAAAAGGGAAATTTAAAGCAACTTAATGCAAATGCACACTTACTCGCACAATGTTATAAAGGAAGAGCTATTTATGGCAGGCATAATAGACAACCCATCACTAAAATTAGTGGTAACTTACTGATGCCCTTGATTTTTGACTCTTCTAAAACAATTATAATTAATTCCTTTATGTACACAATATAAGTAGTATTTGCTAAAATGTTGTCTTAGTAAATAGCTTTGGATTCTAATATTTGATTTAATAAGGAACAAAGACAGTCGTTTCAAGACCATACTGCATGCTACAAAATAAAACAGTGTTACCAAAGCCTTAGAAAGGATGGAATGTATTTTATACAAAGCCTTTAAAAACAGAAATATGAAACAGAATATGAAATTTTAAAGAAAGTTTCTGGGGCCAGAACATAGCATTGCACCTTTTCCCTTGTAATATCGTTTTTCCTTGCAATATACCAGAAACTGAGAGACATCCCCTTAATAGTTAGGCGCTGGTGAAACCAAACCCACCTGACTGGAGATGTCCATTGCGGCATGCCAGGTTAGTACTGTCATTATAGACCTCCATTTGCGGCTTGGAAATTTGCAAAACTGCCTGCAGCTTCTCTATGCAGTAGACAGAAGCGGGGAGGGAAAAAGGACAAAATAAACAAATAAAAAACAAAAATGAACCAAGAAAGTTTATGCATCTTGAACACTCAAAAGTCTACTTCGGCTTTATTCCACTTGATACAGGATTAAAGATAAAAGGAATATTTCTATCTAATCTACATGTTTAACAAACTTATAAAAAAAAATTCTACAAGTATGTACATGACTGTAAACAGCTTTAAAGCTAGCCATTTATGAGTTAGTTAAAACCATCTCCAGTCTAGCAATTGTAGTTACTTCCCAAAAGCAACAGTCAGGATTAATTCAACACTATTAAAAGATCTGTGTAGATAACCCATTTCTGCTCCATGAGTCCTCCATGGGGTGTTACTTTTGACCAACTGCAGGAAGTCACTACTTTCTTTGCAAATTAAATGCTTCACTGAAGCAGTAACAAGCAGTTTACTTTTTACAGACACCTCATCTACTCAAGCAAGACATCACTTAGACATCAGTGAGATGTCTGTCAAAATTGGTATTTAGAAATAATTGCCTAATATAAAATTGTCATGCAAAGTGTGCTCTCCAAGAGGAATACCTTAGTAACATCTCAATACAAGATTTATAAGATTAAAGATTAAGGAGAAAGAAATTAGCTCTAAGAAGTCATGTTAAACAAGCCAAGGCATAAAATCAGAGAGAAGAGTTCTCACCACCTCACACCACAAAAACTAAGAAATAAGTCTCGAGACTATTTGTTCTCTACTGTTCACCCACTGTTCCTGCTCTTCACACCGCAGTTAAAAACCCTCTAGGCCATACTTTTGAGGCCCTTTGCAACCTCTCCCTTTTTTCCTCCCCTCGCCCATTTTAAATCCACCTTTTCTAAGGAAGCAAGTCATATGCTGTCACACTTGCCTCAATTTTTTTTTAATAACAGTAACCAAGAAGCTGCAGGGAAACAGGTGACCGTGTAGAGAAGAGACAACCTCTGGCAACACGAAAGCACATACTGCAAAAAAAGCTCAATTTTACTTAAAATCTGAACAGACAAGATCATATATGCCCTAACTGAAGGAAGGAGCACCGTTCAGAGCTTGCAGATCAGACAACAGATAAGCTAAAACACTTCATTAGTTCCACTTATTAGCATATTATGATTTTTTCCCATCTTTCCGCTTCATTTCTTTCCTCTGCCTGCTCCTGATCACTCATAGCTTAGCTTCCCCAAAAACTATCTTCACACCCAGTGGTTTAAATGATGGTTTAATAATAATGTTCAAATTTAACAAGTTGCAGCTTAGAACAAAAACATTGTAACGAGGTGAGCATGAAAATCTGAATTTCAGAGTAGCATGCGTGCACCCTGGGTTTACTTACTTTTAAACTGAACACAGTGAGGAGTTGAATATAGTAAAATTAAAAGTCAGAGTCACACAAGAGCAGTTTGCAAACAAGCACAAGTTCTGCAACTGTATTCCTAAGAAAAGCCCTGTTAGTATGACTGACCACAAAAATAGCATTACAGCACTACTGACTGTGATGGCAGAACATTCTGCTCTGTGCCCAATGCATGCAACCTGAAAGGAACACACACAGCGAAGCTCGGGAAACAAAATGAATATTCAAAGACTTGGTAAGATACTAGATAAGCTGTTAAGTTTGGATAGCGTTTCTGAATTTTACAAAGAAACTCTAGTGAGTGTCCCCAGTAAAATCAACTAGCTTGGGCAGGAATTCTGGAAAAGCTATTTGCTTCAATACTGCAGTTTGAGTCTGGGGTTTTATCAAAGTGATCGATTCTTATACTTCCATGGCAGTTCCATATATGCAGGAACCCCGAAATTGTAACAGAAACCTAGGAGAACAGACTGGTACAGTACCTGTACAGTGTTAGAACTAAATATCACTGCAGTGGACATTGCTTGAGGACATTTCTGACTGTAGAAAACAATCTCCTCCTGTGACTCGAAATATATCAATTATGATGGTTCTAACACAAGTGATCGGCCATCTAGGCCATCACTGAAGAGATCAGGGCTATGAAGATCATCAGAGCAGAATTTACCCCCTCATCTAAATAACTGTGCATGGCTAACACCCCCTAAACCACAGTGAATCCCTCCCCTACCAAAATAGGGGCATCCCCCAATTTAAAATAGTAGAATTTGGAAATCTCCAGATAGCTAGCATAACTCAGTATTTTCATTGGACTGCCAAAACGATCAAGTCAGCTGGAGTTGCTCTGAAGAGTATCTGGAATAACTTCAGCTTCCAAGTAGTGTCATAGTATAGCTTTAAACAGAATACAATACAGTAATTTAGCCTCAAGATGAAAATAGGGATCAAAATAGCAAAGCTAATATCCAAGGTAAGTAGCTACATTCCTCCTGTCTGAAATTAAAAGACAACACCCCCCATCAGTGGTGTCACACAACTTAAATTTAAGTTGATGATCCAACATGCTGCCAAAAAAGTGCCGAGTGCTTTGAAGAGACAGTTGTAATCCATGTAATTTAATTTCCACTTTCTACGTATTAGCGATGTTACTTGCTTGACTGCATGGAATTTCAGTTAGATAATCTGCAGTCACGTATTGGCCTATCAAACAGGATGAAGTATTTCATGTTATTACCTATTTCAAGTCTATTTTATCTTGCTAGCTAATGCAAGGAAGGACTTACCTACTTTCCCTTAAGGAAGGGGGAAATTCCACAGGGCAAGAGGAAACCTCCCTCTCCCTCCAAAACCGTATTCCTTGATATCAAGAGTGGGATTTAGGGCAAACTATTTTAAAATAATCCCCAGCTGCTTCAAAAGCCACCAATTTAACTGAAGTAGAAAACTGTCTATATTGGCATTGTCTATATGCCACTTAAACTCCAACTATCTCTATTACTACAGGCCACAAGTTAAGAGCCATCTTTAAAATCTCAGAACATGTGATACAAGTCTGAATTACCTAAAATTTCCACAGTCCATATAAAATGGCAGGCAAAGCGATAAAAACAGATGCTTTAAATAAAGTTGGTTACATGGTTTACCAAATATCGTTCAAATAGATCCATAACGATTCAAGCTTGCAGAGATTAAGTCAACCGTAAAATCTCTCTGAAGAGCCTCATTTTCCTTCATAAAGGGAAAATATGTATTTCACTTGCTCCTTCCTATCCAAATTTTGCTTTCGCGTACATCATTGGAGGCAGATTTTAGTGGTAAGTTGAACAAGAACCTACGTGGAATAAAGTACTGAACTTCACATAATATCTAAAATCCCTTCAATTGTTTTTTGGAAGTAACTGATTATACAAGAAACACTGTTCCACCCATTCACCTTTCAGCTTGCACTCTGAATGATGAATACAAATAGCATGTGATCATGCGTTATGGTATTACAGTTGAATGTACTAGCTTGACTTCAACTTCAGTGCTTCTGCAATTTTTACCCTTTTTATCTTCTCAATCAGAACAAAGCAGGTAAGCAACTCATTTAACCCACAAGTGCTACTACAATGAGACAAACAGGATCAATCACTACTCACAGAATTAATACAGACATTGCTACTATGAGGTTCAGGAAACAGCAACGTTAAAAAAAAAAATCCTAGTTACTTGTTATAATTAGAATGTCAACAACAGGCTGTATCTTGTCAATGATGGTTAGTATGTAATCACTTCCATTCTTTTGTCCCTCAGTTTATATTCCCTCTGGGAGTCAGCCCTAACCATCGTGAGCAGAAAACACAATCTTTGAATATACTGAGATTCTACCACCAAAAAGCTGTACTAAAAGACAGAAGCTGGAAGCCTCTTCTACTCCATGCTCCCTTCACACGATAACAAAAAGGGCTAAGGACACGAAGAACTTTGGGGAAAGAAGAAGGATTCTTTCTTGCGGCCATGATAACCTCCCCACCCTTCAATCATTGATTAAGGCCTAAGAATCACTAAGCACTAAGCGTAGCAGGAGAAAAGAATATGAGGAGACTACAGAGCAGCCAGGAAAACTAAGAGGGCAACTTAGTAGCACTCTAAACACAATGCAAGATTAAAGCAGCAAATACACAAGCTAAACAAAACAAACAAAAAGCCACCTCAAAAAGCCCACAGCTTTGTGTCATGCATTCTAAACATGAGAACTTTGGAACTGCTTCCAGCTCAGTCAAAAAAATGGAAAGAAGGATATTTATTGCTCTTTAGGGGAGAACCAACACACATGTCCTTGAGTTTATCATGCACAGAAAGATGCCTTTTCCAAGCTCCCTGTTTTACTAAGTGCATTAAGAACTCAGATACATATCGATTAATTTTGATAGAGCTAAAACTATACAACATTATGCTTCTGAAAAGAAGTGATCTTACCTGCTGGTCTTAAAAAAGAACATGACTAGAGGAAGACTGCAAGAATTAGGATTTCATAACCTCATGGTCTACATAATATCGAAGAACTGTTTTTACAATACATGCCAATAATCAATGCAATTGTTATAAACATAAAAACAGAATTAACACTAACAGGAAATAATTACACTTACAATAGACACACTTAAGCGTTCATGATCAGCAATACATCGTAAGTTGTACTACACAGTTAACACAGAAATTCTAAATTAACTCCAGCATAGACAGGGCCTCCTCAGTTTGCACAGTCAAGTATGCTACAGCATACAGACGCCTTGGTTACTTTTATACCTATATTTTTTTTAAGGTAAAGGGAAGTGAATCATGAGATTCTGGCTTCAAAAGCCAACAACAGCCTTGAAAAAATATGACACTCTGCTATAACCAAACTTAAGAGACCCTACACAGACAATGAGTCCTTCACTTTGAAATTTGCAAAGTAATATTTTAAAAGAATATATTACTTGAAGTCGTGCAAATAATGACAAACTTTCCAAAGTCATGAATAGTAACTGGTACCTAAAAGCTGCAAGCGATCCTTGGCCATTGCCAAATTTGTCATCATTTTAGACTGCAGACGTCGAGCCCGTTCACATTGATCACCTTACAAAGAAAAATCAATGTTAAATCAGATTGTGGCAAATAAAAATGTTTTAAGTGCTAGAATACTGTCATCCAGCCTTCCCTCTTCTTCCTCCCACCCCTCATCTACCGTGACCACTGAGAAATTTCATTGCAAAAAACAGGAAAAAATACCCTAAGGCTTTCTGTTTAATCAAGAATTTGACATTAGCTGCCACTATCTGCTTTACAATATTGTACAGAGCGGGCAACTTGAGCGCTGCACTGTTTTGCACATCCTCCAACATCTCATGCTAGCCTAATATCTACTCTTTTCTTTGCATTTTTCTAGGCAGCTGTCAAGCAAGACAGATATTTAAAAAGCTTGAAAAGTGAGTGAGAGGCAAGTACAATTCAAAAAAAATTTATTTCAGCAAAATTAACAGATTTAAATTCAGTTGACTGTGTCCCTTTACATTTCAAAACATGTAATTACGGATAGTAATATTACTTCCTACAAACAACATCTGTTCAGGTCAAACTTCTTTTAAACGATGCTCATTCAGACAGGCTGTTGTTGTGGAAGTAACACGTCAATATACACTGTCCATAACATTTTCAAAACACAGTAGAGAAACAAAATAGCCACCTGGGAAAGAAGTTTCAGGCATGAGGTTTTAGGGGGTTTTTTTTTTTTTACTAAAAATGTTTTGAGGACAGGGATTCTCAGCAAGCCCTTCACTACAAATGTTTCTCCATAGCACATATCTGCTTCTATACTAAAGCTTAAAATGCTTCTTTACACAATAGACGGCTTTCTTCTTTTGCTGCAAGCGTTCAGGTATTTTTGCATAAGCTATTCAGCAACACAATAGTAGACCATTCCAAAAAGTGTTTTGTTTGTTTATATTGAAAGGTATATAAAATCCTGCAGCTGTGAGAACACAAACTAATCCAGGACTGCCAACTTCAGCCAATCAAACTGAAACTTGCATAACGGGAATGCCAAAATATTAAGAAATTAGCTATTTCACTTAGGAATTTTCACAACCTGCTTATGATTTTGGATAGCCTGAAAATACTTGGAGCAAAACTTGTAAATGCTACAGCTCAGAACATTAAGGTAGAACAAAGAAATAGACCAGTGTTCACCTACAGCCCAAGTGAGAACGAGAAACAGTCTTACGTGCTCATACAACACACAGTTCCTAGTACCTGCCATGTCCAGCAATATTGATTCCTCGCTTTCAGAAAGCCATAAACCGGTATTGATCAGTACGGTAAATCTTTCCCACAAAACTAAAAACTGGCTTACCTTGACCAATAACTAAGACAGCTATTCCTTTTTCCAGTTCTTCAATTCCTTTCTTATACCATTCAACAGCTTGTTCCTTTTGTCCTGCTTAAAAAGGAAGTGAACCCATTATTTTCTGTAATGAATTAAAGTTCAGGAATGGTTCCATATAATGCTGCATACAACAAGCAAGAGGATGGAAGATATATTCGAACAAAACTCTATGATTTAAAGAAACACTGAAAGGGACACCGTCAACTTTATTTCTACTTAGTTTCAAATAAGCTTTTCCATGAAAAATAGATATTACACCAGCCTCAAATCACTTTTGCCCGTTTAAGAATACTTCTCCAAACACGTTGAAGAGATCACTTCCCTCAAAAAGCCCTCAACTACATATATTCACAGCGAAAATGTTGAAATTAACAGTTTTCTTTTAGCATACCAAATCGAGATACTCCTCTGAATCTTCCAGTGACATTCAATACTGACATAACAGCAGGAACACAGAAATTCAAGACAACAAGGAAGGAATCTAAAATACTACATGAGTGCGATGAGACTTCTTTTCCTCTAACAGTCAACTTCAATAGTCAACAGATGCAACTTCTGTTCCATCTCCGGCTAACTTCCGTGGTATCAGTTTGCTTTTCATGGGTATATTTCTTTGTTCATCCTATCTTGAAGCTTCAGTATTGCAAGTGTCTGTCAGCCTTTGCATGAAGTACAATACATGTAGAATGGAGACTACACCACAGTACACAACTTCATAAATGGAAATTACAGCAAATACAACAACGAACACGTCTACAACTACCCTAGACTGCCTGACACCATGACAGCAAATTAAAGATAGCGAAAGATATTCAGATCTGCTACTTATTCGCTCCTCGTCTGCAGATACTCTGCATCCAGAAGATACTTCACTGCATACTGAAACATACTTTTGGAAGTCAGGTATGTCACGCTTACAATCCCTTTCCACAAAGAAATTTGGCACCCCAAGAATTATAACTCAAGCCTGGCTATCATTAACAAGCTACTAGTGCTAAAAGATGCAGAAATGCCTAGAAGAAGGCATTCTGATATCGTCAGCCTCATTTCAGATGAAAGGGTCTCTAAAAACTGTACGTGCCAGTTATGAGCGACTGTGTTGCTTCTGCATTCAAACTTTGAGAACGCGAGACCCAAACCTATTTTCTAGAAAGTGTCAGTATTTCCAGAACCTTCTTAAGGGCTTTATCTTTCTCATCTCCAGTTGCAAAATCTGTTTGTGATATTTGGCAAATTAGCCTGTGCAATAATTCCATGCTTTGCTCTTCTCACCAATGTAAGCTACTGGAGCAGCATCTTCCTACAGTCACGTACATCACAAACATTGGGAATCATTTCATTACTGCACTTTCCCTGCCGGCCTCCCACATCCTGATTAAGGACAACACTATATAAATGAAATAATGGAAGCTAGGTAACTTTGATCCTTCCTGTAGCCTTCTTTTTCTTTAAACTTCTCCCCATCCCTGTCACCTATCACCAGTAGAAGCAGTTTCAACTTCAGTGCAAGTATAATGCTGCTTATAGCTATTACAAATCATATTAAAAAATGATTCAAGTCAGCTTTACCTACGGAATTCTGAAGAGCAGTTGTGAACATGCCAAACGTTTTATTAAAACCTCACTCCCACCTTCTAATTGGAGAAGTTTTAAAAGCAATACAACAGACCTACTGACAAAGAGAGCGCTCTGAATCTGCATACAGTAACTTAATAGTTTTCAGTCACTAAGACTGCAAAAATACAAAAAAATAAGAAAACCCACACACACTTCAGAAATCTTTGGCTTGCCTTCTCAATCGTATAGAAAAATGGAGTACTAAGCTTAATTTTGAGGGTCCCAAAAAAAACGTGTCTTTCCCT